AGCCCAATAAGGGTGGCTTGCCCACCTAAACATGATTCATCTCCACCTACTCATGGTAATCTAGTCAGGGTACCAAGTCCAATCAGGGTGGAAAGTCCATCTAAACATCATTCATCTCCACCTACTCCAGCTAGTCCAGTTAGGGTGGCAAGCCCAACAAATCATGATTCAACTGCACATACTCCGCCTGAATCAAGTCCAATAATAGATGAAACCAACCTGAAGATCTTCAATCAAACAATATACAAGCTTTTTACCAAGGACAATTTTACGAAGAAGAAGCTATCTTTGGTGGAAGCAACAAATAGTTTACTTGAAAAGCGTGTAGTGCTTTTGGTACAAACTATTTTTGATTTGAAAGATGAAATTTTTTATTTGAAAGAGGAGATAAAGAAAAAAGACAGTTTTATATTGAAGTTCTTATAAGATCAGTTTCCTTCATATTTTAAAACTTACAAGAATGAAATGTCTGTTGAATCTTCTTCATCTGCTACTGAATCTAAAAAAATTGTGTATAAGGATGCCAGCTTGAGTAAGGATGAGGAATTTGATCCATCCTTACAAACCGGTATAGCAAGAAGAGTTCAGCAATGAAATGATAGGAAGAGGAAACTTGTATCTACATCTTTTACAACCAGTGTTAGGAAGAAAAAAATTAAACAAAATTTATCATCCAAAGAGAAGTTCAGTGAGTCAATTCCAAGTGATTCTCCTGCAGTAGCACATGAACTTGCTCTTGCTCCTACACAAGCTCCTGCAACTGAACTTTATCCTGATCCTGCACCACGTTCTACAACTGAACTTGCTCCAACTTCTGAACCAGCTCCTACGCCTGCAGTTGCTCCTCCACCTGATCCTGAGCCTGAACATGCTCTAGTACCTGCTCTTGAACCTGCTCGTGAACATGCTCCTACATATATGGATGAATCAACCACGGGTCATGATAAAGCTATGATTGTTTATGAAGTTGATGACTCAAAACACATAGAATTGCGTCCTGCACCTGAAGCATTAGATTACCCTGGGCGATCATTAATAAGTGAAGATAAACACATATTCATCAATAATTGCATGAAACAATTCAAGGACAAGTGAGTATTGTACTTATGCCGACCAAAACCAATCAATACCGAGTAATAATCTTATTTATATCGAGGAAAACCAATCAATACCGAGCACTAATCTTCATTATACTCGGTATTATGTTAAATATACTCGGTATTATATCAATCATGTGATGTATAGTACGTTGACTGGTTTTTTAATGCATTATATCGAGTAGTACCGAGTAATACCGAGGTTTACTGATCGCTAGTACTCGGTATTATGTTAAATATACTCGGTACTACATCAATCCTATGATGTATATTATGTTTAATGTTTTTTTATGCATTATACCGAGTATATTTAATAGTCTAAATCATGTTATATACTCAGTACTCATCGATTTTACCTCTATTATGTTCGGTACTGATTGACCTTTGTATGTATAATTTAATACTCTGAATCACTTTTCTTTAATACTCGGTATCCGTTATGCAGGGATATACTCCAAAGATTCATTTCAGATGCCGAACTTCGACTTTTAGAGAAGTTTGTAATCAACTTGTTCGGAGATTTAGAGATCCTTTTGTTGAAAGACTACGGCAGCTGCAAATAAGCCAGTTCATTATGGTTCCTCTTATGCCTCAGAATGTTTCACTTATGTATATGCTGCTATCGAAGTGGGATTTGAAGACAGAAAGTTTTATTATTAAAGGACATAGGCTAGAGTTCACATCTGATGAAGTTGCCTTAATTATAGGAATGCCTAATAGAGTTATTATATTTGACGTTGGCAGTGCTAGATCCAGTGACAAAACATCTAATGACATTCGCCATGACATTGAGAGGATGGATAATTCAACTCCAATGGATGATCTAGTGAAAGGATTCGTCTTTTACCTACTATCCAACATTTTTTATCCAATGGCGAACTTCCGTATACCATGATCCATCCTAGAAGTTGTCAAAAATGTTGATAGTTTTAATACATACAACTGGCCAGAATCAATTAGGAGTTTCCTAGTTAATGAATTCAACCTTGTTGCTACTAAATAATCAAAGGGGTGCGCACTGGGTTATGTTAATGATTTTGTCATGATTGTAATTATGAGTATTGTTATTTTGTTGAAAAGATCTTTGGTAATTTTCCAATTTCTATAACAAATTTAATTTGTCTTCATTTTTGCAGATTTGGTTTCTTGAACATACAACCATTCATGTCGTAGAGGATGAACTATCCCACCCACATTTTACTCGGTGGGATGGTAATTTTATGTACAGTGAAAAAAACGTAGATAGTATATTTGCAGACCTTCAGGATCATGAGGTAACATCATTACGTATTTTCATTTAAATGTCTGCTAAATTTATATGTTTAAATGTTTAAATTAGATGAAATATTGTATTTTATACAGATCTTAGTTAGTTCCGAGGAATAGCAGATGATGAGAAGGCTTTATTTCACAGTCCTTCAAAGATCTCATCTAAGTCGTTCAGTCTATCTCCACCTAGTCCAATACATAGTACGATGACTAGTTTTTTAATGCATTATATCGAGTAGTACCGAGTAATACCAAGGTTTACTGATCGGTACTACTCGGTATTATGTTAAATATACTCGGTACTACATCAATCCTATGATGTATATTATGTTTAATGTTTTTTTATTCATTATACCGAGTAGTATCGAGTAATATCGAGGTTTACTGATCAGTATTACTCGATATTATGTTAAATATACACGGTACTACATCAATCCTATGATGTATATTACGTTTACTATTTTTTTATGCATTATACCGAGTAGTACCGAGTAATACCGAGGTTTACTGATCGGTACTACTCGGTATTATGTTAAATATACTCGGTACTACATCAATCCTATGATGTATATTACGTTTACTATTTTTGTATGTATTATACCGAGTAGTACCGACTAATACCGAGCTTTACGATTATGTTTTTGTTTTTTATTAATCTTTTTTAATTAATGTTTATTAAATTATCCAGGGGCGGCACTATTTTCAAGTTTGAATATGCAACAATTTATAGAAGCCAATTGGACGAGTTATTACTGTCAGATGAGCTTGATAATTATCACTTGGATGCGCTTGCACATTTATTAATTTAGAAGAATGCCCTTTGCCCCGATCTTAATAAACCTTTTCTTTATATTTCAAGTTTCCATTGGGTTAGTAAACATTATTTATTCCTTGCATTTGCTAATTCTATTTATTAGTTTTAAACATATCGGAACTAATCACCACTAATATTTTATCTTATCCAGGGTTACTACGCCCAATCAAATGAGACGAACACAATTAGGTTCGTATCTCATATAAACAGAACCATTATTAGGAATGTAAATTTGATTCTTGTTCCTATAATAAACAATAAACATTGGACACTTTAGTATGCAATTTGAGAAAGAAACGGTGGGAGTTTTATGATTCATTACCGAAAAAGACACACAAAGCCATACTCCTAGAAGTTGTAAGTAATACCAATATTTGACTTTTATTTAGGAGTAACATTATTGTATGTTAATTTAATTTATATTTTCCAGATTTCTCATTTGTACAAGGATACAAAGAACGCTTTTAACGAAGATATAACGAAATGGCCTATCAAAGGATTTAGAAACGTGCCAACATAAGATAACAACGTTGATTGCGGCATGTTTGTTTGTAAATATGGAAGTTGTAATACAGCAAGAACCTGTTCAATGATATCGTTATAAGAACTGGCAATCTAATATGCCATTATTCAGGGCTGAATTTGGATATGCCATGTTATGTACTAAAATTCAATAAATTATGGACAAAATGATGAAATGATTTTGTATATTTCCTGTATATATCTAATGTGTTTTAATAATTTGTTTGCTGTACCGAAAAATTCAAGCAATACCGATTAATCATTGACAAGTACCGAGTACTAAAAAGGACTAATACCGAGCAATACCCACTAATCAAAGACTAATACTGAGAAATATGAAAAAGATCGGTACTGATCAGTATTAGTTGAAATATGCTAAGAAATATATTAGTGCAGATCAGTACACACCAAATACCAAGCAATATCGACTTCTATGGACAGGTACCGAGTACTAAAAAGGACGAATACCGAGCAACACCAACTAATTGAAAATAATTAACCCCAATTTATATTTATTTATATTTTTTAATAAATCAATAATTGCAAGCATTTTATAATAACAAATGAAGGTAAGTTATTAATTTTATTACTAACAAAAATTTAAAAAGTATGCAAAATATTGCCCATTAGAACTATTATTGAAGGTTCTTATAGCATTTTAAGTTCTTTTTTTTTTGGTTTGTCAAACTCTAACCACATGCACTTGCTTATGTGCACCTTTCTTATTTTACCCAAATTAAATTAACTCACTCATGCAACTCAATAGATAAATAAAGAAAGAAGATTCATAAACATTAGACTTCATTTGGAACGGCTTTCGTCCAACTTCTTAAAGCAAATTTCTAATGCAAAAATTTTAATTTTTATGCTAAAAAGCTATTTTAAGAAGCAGAGAGAGCCGTCCCAAATGAAGCCTTAATCTAAAAAAAAATCACAAAATATTTTGATACAAAATAAATTAAGATGAGCTTCAAAATCCTTCAATCTATGTTGAGTTTAATGCTCTATATGATATCCATAATTTTTTTTTTTTTGATATTCAGATCAATTAAGATAAACCCACACACACATTGCATATGTAACACTCGAACTCAATATCTCTTAATTGATAGTCAAAGCTCTCAACCAACAAACTAAAGTGAGCTGTGTGAAGTCATGAATTTATAGCAATAATCTCAATGCAAATTCTAAACTTTAAAACTCATCTTGATGCATTTAGTATTAGTTCTTCCTATCTCAAATAGATCAAACAACACTAATAATTATAATTATGAGTATAATAAATAAATAGATTTATATAAGGTAAAAAAATAGAGGAAATCTTACTATGTTATAATCCCACAAATGAGACAATTATTTCATCTACTACAAAAACCACTATCATATATAACTATGTACACAGAGAGAGAGAGACCATGAAAAACAAAAGAATAATTCACAAAGGACTCAAAACCAGTAAAGTGATAATCTACTTCACTGGAAAAACTCTTTAAAATCAGTGAACTCAACAAAACATAGCTAAAACAAACAATTTAACAGTACAAAGATTTTCACTTGCAGTTTTCATTTATAGCTCCTATCAGAATCTTTCCTCTTTCTTCTCCCCTGTTTGGTGTAATGTCAGCTGCACCATAAACAAATGAAGAGTCAATTAAAAATGTGATTCAATAGCATGAGGAAAAAAACTTGGGTAATGATAAGTTTCAAAGCCGTTGGATTTATCAAAAGAAAGGTTTAGAAAGCTGATGCGAGCATTATAGATTTTTCTTTTTTACCTTTTGAAAAATTTGAACATCTTTTATACAAATATCACACTCTAAAAGATTTGATTGTAAGAAGCTGTTTTTCACAATGCAAATTTTTTAAAAGCTTAAAAAAATTGTAGCCAAACAAAAAAGATGACTGAAATCTAAAAGATAAACTAGTGGAAGTACTGCCCCAAATGAATCCTAAATCTACAAACCTTTATCAAATAAGTTTGCTTCTGAAGGCTTCTTCACCTTTCAATAGCACCCTGTGGAAGGAATCACCCTCTCTTCTCCACTCCTGTGGTAGAGAACCTTCTGTACATAGTAAATCATATAACCTTGCAAAGCTCTCACCACCTCCTCCCTCACCTCTGTAATCCAAGCATCATCACACTTGTACCACTGGTTTCTTAAACGCAGGTAAGTAACATAATGGCCTGAATCCAACCCTCCACAATGAGTAACCACAGCAAAAACCTCAAACTCTGAGGATATCTCGCCTGATAGATCTGATTCATCTCCTTCAAAAGCAAAGATCCTGTTTCCAAACCTATTCCTTATTATTGAAGATGAGAGGTATGGTGTCATGTCGAGAGAGAACGGGAATTGCATATACTGATCAAGCTTTTTCGATGTCCGCCGGATCACTGAGTGTGCAAATCTCTTAACATGGAAGCATAGGACCAGTGGGAGCCTTCGAATGGACATTTGCTTCACTGATTCTTGCTTTACCCTGCAGTTTTGACAGTATAGTTTCTGATCAGAGCCAAGCTTCTCAGGCCTTGTGAAGAGGTCAAGGCTTCCTGTGAGAGTGGATAGTCTGGTTTTATCAGCTGGGCTTGCAGATTTATCCGTGTGATAGACTGTCTCCAAGTCGACGGGAATGTCGACGCATGGATCGTAGGTAGTTGATGTAAAGCCACACACAGTGCATGTGATATCAGATCTCAGGATTCCAGAAAATACACTATGGGCAATGCAATGGCAATCAACAATGCCTATGGAAATAAAAAATCAAGTAATATGGAATATAACAATCAATCTCTTTGGAAGAGAAGGATATAGATAGAGTAACATAACAGTTGAAATCATGCGAGGCAGATAAACAAGATTAAAGTAAAAGTTACCTTTACTATTAAAGCCAGATAACTCCTTGTCATGTATCTTGTCTAGTATTGAAATGAAGAATTCATGAGCATCCTGTTGCTCATAACCAGAGAGATTAGATGAATGCTTCCACCAACTGCAACAGAGGCAATTTCTTTCATGCTCATGAACATAAAGTTAGAAAAATGGAAGCAACTTTTAAAGTGATAACAAGTTTTAGATTTCCTTATAGCCAAACTGATAATGGTTGCAAGGCAAGTTTATACAAATTTGAATTTCTGTTCTTTAGTCAGGCATATATACTGGTAATCTCTTAAACTTTCTAGGGCCGCTTCAGATGATCACATAGAATACTAAGGCTTCGTTTGGGACGGCTTTCTTACTGCTTCTTAAGGAACTTTCTAGTACAAAATTAGAAATTTGTACTAAAAAACTGCTTTAAGAAGCAGTAAGAAAGTTATCCCAAACGAAGCCTAAATGCATATTGTGTTCACAACCTCTAGAACTGGAATAGATATTTCAGATCATGAAGCAAAATATAAACTAAGTCTAAGATATGACATTATTGATATTATAATTGAAATGCTCCTTACTCAATGTAGCTGTCTAAACCATAAAATTGATTTTCTAAGAGTTATCATCCTCTTGAACTTCAAAGAGTAAGGACCGAAGCACTCAATATTCAGGTTGCACCATCAAATAAGAATAATTACTAATTAATTTGATTTAGTAAGAGAGAATGAATAAGTCTTTAGATAGCATTTAGCCACAACAGGTAAACAACAGAGGAATTTCTTTTACCACATTGGTTGCTCAAATGAAACCTGGCCTGTGGAGAATTCACATGAAGGAGGTTCAGAATTTGCTTTAGAAGATTTCCTTATAGACTTCTTATGCTAATCTCAAATAGACTGCTCACATAATTTAATTTCCAATAGACAACAACGTCAATATCCTGTGTTTCTTTCTTTGCTAAGAGGAGAACAAAGATTAATGATTCTGCAATTGATAGAAGAATACAAGAAAGAAATTCAAAGGCAATAATTTTAAGCACCAATAACTAATACGAGTTCCTGATTAACTAAAAAAAAAAAGAACTTTTTTCTTCTGAATTCAATAAATTGATATTGCTAATTTAAATTTTCTTCCTCTCCTTTTTTTTTCACGTAAAACTTCAATGATCCTTCAACCATCAATCAGTCTCTCTCCACATTAGGGAAAGGAACAAGATAAAAATGGAATGTACACTTCTTTCTTGGAATGTACACTTCTTTCTTGCCTTTGGTTCTTTTCCGTTTAAGTTGCTGCTCTGCTCGGAAAACTATTACTGCAAAGAATTAAATGATATTATGATACTGACTTCCAAAATTACAAAAAGCCCAAGGCTTATAGTTTTTTTTCTTTATAATTGCCTTGTGAAGGAAATGCAACTAAAATAAGCCTCAGAACAACAATCAAGAGAAGGCCTCAAGCTCAAGTTTTCAATTAATAACTCGCATAGAAAACAAACAAGTAATAGAAATTCGAAATGAGAGAGAGGGTTTGCATGAAGCAAAATATGATTGGTGAACAATTAATCCATAAAACAGTTTTCTAATCAGAGAATATCTCAAATGTTAAAGTAAATGCAAAGTTGTGCAAAGCTCTATGGCCCCGTGCTTGAGAGTCTTGGCCCCCACTGTGAAGGCAAAAGCTCAAGGGCATTAACTATTCAATTATAATAAATGAGATTAAACTCATTCATTGTCAAAAATTATATATATATATATATATAAGCGAAGCTTGATCTTACAAAGCACCGTTAGAGCTCTTCGAAACGCCATCATAAAAGTCAAAAATATGTTGTTCATCTAAGAGATTCAAGATACCACATGTTACACAAGAGAGCCATATTTTAGAATGTAATGACTTTACCACTGGCGCGATGAGCTCTCTAATTGTCAAGGTACTTGTCCTCTTAGCTTCAATTGTGCGAGCTAGAGCTAGGTGAGTTTGAGTTCATTGGGGCACACATGATCAGTGAACTAGAACAGACTTTGAGAGAGGTGAATGAGCATAAAAAGAGGATCAATGAGGAGTACCTCCGAATCCACATCACACTAACGAAAAGATTGTTACCAAAGAAAAATGCAACTGACATATTTAGAAAAGAGAAAATTGGAGTCGGATATCCTGATCCAAATTGGTCATGGTCAATTTTATAGCCATCAAATTTGTATTAAGAAGAGCAAAATACATGTGTAATCAATCAAATCTTGCATACACTCATCTCAAAGCAATTTTGATGATCATAATTACGTAAGTATATCTTGACCCAAACTGTTACCTTTACAAGGAACATGTGGCAAAAAGTCCCGCTATATCACATCCAAATTTCTAAATAAAATGAGGCATCTTACAATTGCTTTTAGATCTTTAGAAATTGCGTTGCAGGAATGAACAAAATAAAAAACTTTAACCTCACTAACAAACATAATCAATCATCTATTTACAATTCCAAAAAACCTTAGTTCCAACTTTTTAGCATAACAGTAAGCACAATCCCATCAGCATTCTATCCACAGCCCAAAATCAATCAACATCTAACCTGTAAAGAAACCTCGCAGGGCTATAAGGTTTCCGGTCGCCCGAAAACACATCCAAGAACACTCCCTCTACAACACAAGCCAAGCACGGCCCTTCTCCCCCACCAGCCACCGCCAAAGCCCCTCTCCTCCTCCTCCTCTGTCGGCAAACCTCCCGCTTGTGGTGATCACCCAGGAAGTAGTTCCTCAATGGCGGTGTATGCAACAGAGCCTGCAATACAGAGTTCATGAAGCAAGTATTGCCCAAATTGTTCAAACCCCTCAGTCCCCATGGATGCCTCAACGCGGTCCTTATACCCCTAAAGCTCGATATCGCAGCAGGAGGCGGCAAAAGCATCAACAGCGGCTTTCGCCTCCGGCGGCGTAGTGGGGGATGAAGGTTCTTGGCGGCCGCCGCTACGACGGCGGAGTCGAAATCTGGATCATAGACTTGGTCGGCGCAGGAGAGGCAGAAGAGCTCGGCGCGCTCGACGTCGACGGAGATGTCGTGGCCAGGAAAGGACATAGAGTGGGAAGCGGCGTGGCTAGGGCATGAGATGGAAGAACATATCAAGCAGAAATAAAGACGGCCGATTGACGTATTAGGGCAGGAACTGCAGGTAGGATTTGTCGATTGGAGACGACTGAGAACTGTGCGGCCGCTGGGCGAGGAGCGTAGGCTCTTCTGTAAGGATTCGTAGCCGGAAAGGCCGTGTTTTTCTCGGTAGGAGGAGAGGTGCGGGCATGGTTTGGGGTTATTAAAGCTGGGGTTTCTCCTCGAAGCCATGAAATCGAAGATCTGAAATCGGTCAGATTTCGATTGGAAAGTTGAAAAATGTTAAATGCGGCAGCTTTCTGTTCTTCCGGTATCAGCTTGGAAGCTGTCAAACGATCATAGGAAGGAGTCGGGAAGCTACAGTCAGCAGCAAGTGTGCTTTTGGATATTCTAACCAGAAGACTTAGAAAATATGATTTTAAAAATATTTCTTAATTTATTTAAATAACCTTTTATTACAATATTTGTTAAAAAATTATTTTATTAAATAAATATTTTGTAAATTTTTAAGTATTTATATATTTCATTTTGTAATAAATCAAACGTAAACTTAATTTCATAAATTTATTTAATAACCAACAAAATATTTATTTTATAACCAACAAAATAATCCTATAAAAAATTAAAATGCTATAAAAATTTAAAATGCAATATATTTAGCTTGCATTGCATTTGAGATACATTTGTATGACAAAAAAAATTGCAATCAAAGAACAATTGATGCCACGTATCAAATTGATTTTTAACTTTATTTTTAAAAAATGCTCGATTTATGTTTTTTTTTTCAATTTTTTTTATTTTTATTTTGAATATAGGATTTTTTAAATATTAATAATATATTTTAAATATTTTATAGGTATTTTAATTATTTTTAAATAAAAATTGGGTTGGTTGTTTGCTAGTCGCTACCACTACTAGTTGCTACCATTATAGCCCTCACTGTATGTCATCAGAG